GAGTTGTAGCGGGAGCAGGAGCAAGATCACAAACCCTTTCTCTTTACACCAAGTTTCTCTCTGTGAAGGACAGTGAACTTAGGAATTTCGTAACTTCACCCGCCGTCTGGGCCCACACCGGAGAAAGTGAAAGTTGACGGGCCGCACGGCCCGATCTGATGAGCACTGAGTTGAACTTCGGGCCATCCAAATTTCCAGGCTGGGGGATCGTACCAAAAAGTGGAAGGGTAGTCGTAGAAGGAGTTGGAGGAGGAGGAGAAGAAAAGGTGGTGGTGGGGGGGGGGGGCGTGGTCTGATGCAGAGCAGGCGGAAGGGAAGGAGGGGCGAATGTGTTCACTTGCTTCTGTTATCTCCTTGCTGCACTCAATGCATGTGGACAGAGAGGTGATGTATACTGCCGCATCCGCTGCTGCAGCCTTGCTGTTACTCGTCCTTGTCCTCGTCCTCCTCGTCCCACTTCTTGGTCCTCTCTCTCCTTCTCCTCGTGAGGTCACTTTTGTTTCTTGTTTGCTGAGCAAAAGGTGCAGGTCTTAGATGTCCTCCTCAAGATTCTCACACGTAAGTGCCTGTTTTGTTAATGAGGAGGAGGAGGAGAGGGATCAGGAGGAGGGGAAGGAGGGGGAGGGGAAGGAGGAGGAGGAGGAGGAGGAGGAGGAGGCACTGAGCATGAGGCAGGCAAGTCGCAGCAAATGCAGGCGATGAAATGGAGCAAGACATTAACGTTTGAGGATTAAGAAGCCTTTCTTTCTCTTCCTTGCTCCTCCCTCTCTCTCACTTCCCTGTTCTCCTCAAGGTCTCTCAGTTTTTATGAAAACGCAACAGTCCCTTTCCCTTTCCCCCTCCCTCCTCCTCTTCCTCCTCCCTCTTTCCATGAGACTTTCTGCGTATGCTGAGCAGACCATTGATAACAAACACTATGCCAACTTCTCCTCCTCCTCCTCCTCCTCCTCCTCCCCCTCCTCCTCCTCCTCCTTCTTCAGTAGGGCTCCGCGTCCTCCCCAAAGTACTTGTCGACTGCGCAGACGTCAGCGTCTCCTCCTTCTCTTCTCGGCGATTCACCGAGGAAGCTCGAGCGAGCAACGACAGCCTGCGACGAGTTGGCGTAGATCAGCTGCTCCAGCGCGTCGATGCCTGCATGCAGCACGTGAGGGGAGGGAGCGAAGGGAGGGGTCGAGGTGGAGAGGAGGAGGAGAGGAGGGGAAAAGGAGGGAGGGAAGTGTGTACGGGTTATGAGGGAGGAAGTGGAGGGGAAGCGTAAGGACACCAGGAGAGAAGAAGAGAAGAGGCAAGAGCACTGAGTGAGTTGGAAGGGGAGGAAGCAGGGAAACCGAGCACGGGTACAGGAGTAAGCAGAGGAGGAAGGAGGGAAAAGGGGATAAGCGCAAAAGCGGCATGAGCAGGATCAGCATCAGGATCAGCATCAGGATCAGGATCAGGAGCAGGAGCAGGAGCAGGAGCAGGAGCAGGAGCAGGAGCAGGAGCAGGAGCAGGAGCAGGAGCAGGAGCAGGAGCAGGAGCAGGAGCAGGAGCAGGAGCAGGAGCAGGAGCAGGAGCAGGGCAGGGCAGGAGCAGGAGCAGGAGCAGG